AGTTCCAGGCATTCCTACACCATATCATAAATAAGCACAAGGACTTACCAAACAAGTTGTTCAACAAGTGCAGTCATGGAACTATTTCTGTTCAAAATGTTTGGATGCTTAAAAGTACAGTATACCCTAACCCATAGTGATAATGATAAAATGATTGCATATCCTAGATTCTTACAACATTTGATTCACTATCACTCATCTAGTTGTTCTCTTCAAACACAGTATTGCTCAGTCTCACCTTTATCTTATTATGTTTTGTATTCTTTGTTATGCTTAAACAATTTGTTTTGGTTTGATATAAATAATATTAAATTCTCTAGGTTCTGAAGTCTATGAAAGGCTATATGAAACGCTCACGAAGGACCAACTCTCCAAATCAATAAAACAAGCTTCCTCTACAGCACAGACAAGCTGCTTGGAGGGCTATCACAGTGTCATTAACCAGTTTGAATCCAAGATGTACGCATTCTCATATCTTGGATTGTTAACCAGGTATAACCAAACAGCCTTTGTGTAGTAGATGTATTACACAACTAGTGGCCCCTGAAAGAAACAAAAATGATGGCATCCATATCAAAGTACCTGTACAACCCCATTTACCTAATTTCTATATGTTTTTGTTAAGAATAACATTGGCGGCCYTCCACTTCAACTACAATGTTAGGAGGGAGCCAAGAAAAGACCACACAGGCAAAGCTAAAGTTGTTGTAAATTACCCAAAATATAAATATGGAGAGGGTACAGTTAAAGAATCTAAAGTTGAGCAGAATTATTACAAAATGGACATAGTCTCAAAAATGTTTGSTTGGGTTATGAAGGTGATAATTTTTAAATTTTTTTATTCACTCTTTTTAAGTACAGTCTCTATACATCAAGAGCAAAATATAAAGCCCCTCTGCTAAGAGATTATCAAGCTCTTCTTAAACATTATGAAAATATAGAATATGTTATAGCTGAAAAAAGATCCAAATTGACCTCTCATTTTAAACAAATATGAGAAAATCCGTGTTCTGCTTCACAGATAAACCGCGGATTTTTTCAGTGACTACTCTTTCCTTTTTAGCAACTATTAAATTGTAATATGGCAAGCCAAATGTAGCAATATTCAAAACACTTCCATTCAGTATTCAAAACCATTATTCTATGATTTAT